TGGCCATGCCGGGCCGGAGTACTAGTGAAGAGACCCCTAATGTGGAGACTGGCTACCTAGCAGGAGGTAGAAAAAGAGTTCGTTTACTCCTGTTACGAGTGGGTATCTGGCTGCATACTGTTTTATAATTCCCCATCTTTCGTATTTCCTAGCTACAACATTCGGTACTTTGTTTTCCAGCAGTCTCACTCTCTCTGAATGTCGATGAAGATTTTCTATGGTTACCGCTTTTACCTTTTACCTTACTAGTACAGAGGAGGTCTTTATCCTGCCAGTAGAGTGGTGCCGGATTTGATAAACGGCTTTTCTTGCGAGCTTATCAACTTCCTCGTTTAGTTTAACCCCTGCACAGCTTGGCGCATATGCACTGTATCTAGGTTAAACATTTATACTACAAATGAGATACTCACATAAATAATAAATTGAATAAGTTCAATCCCTAGAATTTATAGTGAACCGTACACCGGTGGATCAGCGGTAAGCTTATGGACTTACAACGCTAAAATCTGGGGCTCTATTCTCCACAGTAGACAGAACGCCTATAGCGTGTGACTTTGTATTAAACCAGACATTATAGCAAACCTTACGCAGTTCTAAAACAAGTTGAATGAGAAACCAAAATGACCTCTAGTTAATATCAAAATAATTAATTTATGTAATCCTTTCATTGAAAAATTATTAACATTTTCTTTTATGCGACTATTTCAAGGAGTAATAACCGCAAGAAAGGGGCCGATCAATAGGCCAGTCTGCAACTACATTGTCTTAGATGCAACACTGTTAAATATATATATATATATATTAGTTCGTTGTAAAAATCAAGATATAATAATGTGAATAAACTGTTTATAACTTTAGATATTTAACAATTATAATTATATCCAAATAAATGTCAACAAAAAAGCTAACTTAACCGGTTTATATATATATATATTTGTAAACAGAAATATATTTACTGTAAATTATATTCTACATTAAATTCTGGTAAGTCTGACATGCTGAAGTAACAAAGAAATTTCATAGACTGTTTGTTATGAATTTCTCGCAAGGTTACAGAAGGACTATCTGAGTTAGCCGTCCCTAATTTAGCAGTGAAAGACTATAGAGAAGTCAGTTAGTCATCATCATTCACCGCCAACTCCTAGGGGCTCTCTTTTACCAACGAATAGTAGGATTGACCATCACATTATAACGCCCCCCACGGCTGAAAGGGCGACCGTGTCTGGTGGGACAGGGGATTCGAACCCGCGACTTACAGATTGCTATTCGAGCGCTCTAACTACCTGGCCATGCCAAGCCTATTTCATAGTCACTGTTTTTACTGATTTCAGTTAAGTTAGAAAAAGTAGCACCACTTAAGCTACTGTTGCGTCATCGAGATCACGTGACTATTCTCACGCCCTCTACTTTCTAG